GGGGTCGGGTCGGCTGTGATCTGGAGCTAGAGCGTCTTTAGAAAAGAGTGTGAAGAAGATAGACAAGTTTGTGGACAACTTGGTGCGTGCAACGAAGGAGTATGAAGAGCAGGACGACGAGGCGGAGTTGAATGAAGAGGAGTATGAGCTATGTCTGGAGGAAATCGACGAGCAGGAGTTGGCGAAGAGCCGGCTCATGGACGAGTTGGACGAATTGCGAAAGGACGCAGCGGGACTGGGAGAGAATTTGAAAAAGTTAGGTCGCTGGAAGGAAGAGGCTGCGACAGAAGAAGAGGGCGTGAAGGTGTTCAAGCTGCACGCGGATGACGACGACGAAGACACCGAAGGCTGGGAGATTGCGAAGGTCATCTCGCCACTGCCGAAGAGGACGCAAGAACTCGGGTTCATCTCGCACGCCAACGTAAAAAAAGACCCCGCCGGCTGCAAAGATATTCTCCGGGACGCCAACACCCTGGAAGCGGCTCTGGAGAGATACATCGAACGCTTTGACAAGAGCTACGCAGACGCTCACATCCTTCCGTAATCATCCCCACTCGGAACCCTATGCTGTTCCGCACGACAGCGCATCATAAGCGACCCTTTCTTGGTGCAATTTGTCATCTTCCAGAGTGGACCACAGTTTGATTTTGAAACGCCATGAAGAAAACATTGACGACGAGTACGTCGTGGCCCTCATGTCGTAAGCCACCGCTTCGCCATCAGAACGACTCTTTCCGGTAGGCCCTACTGCCGAAATGGGCCGGTGACAAAATGGGTGGACTTGATAAAAGGGTCGCAATCACGTCAGTACGATGCCAACTTCATACTGAGCAATGCCCAGTCCATCATAAATGCGTATGTCGCACACACTCCGGTTTTATTGGCACACACCCGTTCGTTTACACACACCGGTCTGCTAGTACACATATGGCTGTATTCAGGTTGAATGCTTTGTACAGTTCCTATGACGTGGTGCACGGCCACATTAAGCCTTCTAACTTATACGTGAGCTCAAATGGAGGCAGTCTGATTCTTGGTGATTTTTTGCCAATTTCCTACGTCTATCGGCTTTTGGAAAATGACGTTATCGACAAAGTATACATGTCACCGGAGCTGTTCAAGATGCGCAAGACTGATAAGCTATTAACGGAGGACATAGTCAGCAAGGATGTCTTGCACAAACACGACTTGTTCTGTTTAGGCTTATCGCTCTACTATATCTGCATGAAGGTCGCCCCCGATTCCAAATTGCATCGATCGAAACAGGTGCATGGGGAGACCCTGTTGAGATTCGCCACCGAGCGGTCGGAACTCACACACCTGGTGAAACAGTGTCTGTCCTGGAACCCCGATGAAAGACCGCATCATGCCAATGTAGCCAGCCACACGCGCTTTGGGATACAGACTTTGCCACACACTTTGTTCAGACACACACACAAAGCACTACAACAAGGCTTGCCGTATACACGCAACGGACTGTGCCTGATGAGCGTCATAATCCCGTACTTTTAGGCTTTAAGTGCTGCTGTGTCGAAAATGTTCAACTTCAGCTGGCTTCAGGGCTAGCGTCGAATGTGTCACGTCGAATGTGTCACGTCGAATGTGTGACGCCTAGCAGATAGGGTGGCGTCGCGGTGTCAGATAACCGGAGCGATAGTCTCCGCCTCGCTTAGAGTAGTGGTTAGAGTAATGTCTAGATTGGTTTTGGTTTGGTTTTGGTTCTGGTTTGGTTCTGGTTGGTTTAGTACAGTCTTTGTCGAGAGTGGTCAGGGTCCGGTTGAGTTGTTATCGTTATCGACATGGCGCTCGACGGGTTGTCTCTTGTCTTGTGAGGGTTGATGGTGAAATAGTGTGTAATAAAGATGGTAGCCGTGATTCCCCAGCCTTTTGAGGATTGGAAGTTGCCTGCTCGTTATGAGAAGCGTCAGGCGATAGGTACGGGAAGTTACGGGACAGTGGCAGAGGCTTATGATACAGCAACGAAGAAGATTGTAGCTATAAAGAAGATACCACGTGTGTTCGAGGACCTGGTTGATTGTAAGCGAGTATTACGTGAGGTTGCGATATTGAATCGATTGAAGCATGAGAATGTTGTTAAGGTTGTGGATGTGATAATTCCGAATGATTTGAATAAGTTTGATGAGATATATATTGTATTAGAGATCGCTGATTCTGACTTGAAAAAATTAGTTCGAACACCTGTATATTTGAGTGAATTACATGTTAGAACTTTGTTGTATAACCTATTAGTAGGTTTAAAGTTTACTCATTCGGCGGGTATATATCATCGTGATTTGAAGCCTGCTAATTGTTTAGTTAATCAGGATTGTTCTGTGAAAATATGTGACTTTGGATTAGCTAGAACTGTAGATACTCCTTTAAGTTATGATAGAGGTGGGAAGAGGCCGGCTGCTAATTTGAAAGAGCAGTTAACAATGCATGTTGTAACAAGATGGTATCGTGCTCCTGAGCTGATATTACTTCAGGAACATTATACAGAGGCTATTGATATCTGGTCTGTTGGATGTATATTCGCTGAGTTATTAACTATGGTTAAAGAGACATGTTTAAAGCCAAATGAGAGATTACCTCTCTTCCCTGGGACCAGCTGTTTCCCTCTTTCTCCTGATGAGAAACATGGGTATAATCATCAATTCCATACACGAGGAAATAAGGATCAATTAGATATGATTTTCAATGTCCTTGGTACACCTAGTAATGATGATGTAGAAGCACTCGTCAAGGAAGATGCTAGACGATATGTACGTATCTTCCCTCATAAGGACCCAATCGATTTAAACACCAAGTTCCCTGGAGCATCTACTAAGGCTATTGACCTTCTCAAGAAAATGCTACAATTCAATCCAGACAAAAGAATCAATGTTGACGAAGCTCTTAACCACCCACTATTCAGAGACATACGAAATAACGAACTTGAAACCACCGCTGATAAAAAAGTTAGACTACCATTCAACGACTGGATGCCCCTAACTGCCGATCAACTCAGATATGCATTCCTCAAAGAAGCACAAGTCTTCCACCCAGACCTCAAAATCCCTGACCATCTAGCCAAAACCGGCTATGGAAATGCTGCCAATAACACTATAGAATAGATAGAGACTATATTTCAATCACCAGGCACCAAACCTGAGGCACCAAACCTGAGGCAGCAAACCTTGACTGTCGTATTAAAAAAAAAGTTAGCAGGAAACAAACGAAGCCGAAAAAGCTTGAGCACACGAAACTGCTTGGTATATGATGCTGACTTATGTT